CTTCAAAAAAATCTTGAGCTTAATAGATCTAGACTAGGTATTAGAAATTCTTTACTGTGCGGGTGGTGACACACTGGAACAGGTTGCCCAGTGAGGCTGTGAATACCTCCTCCCTGGAAGCATTCAAGGCCAGGCTGGATGTGGCTTTGAGCAATCTGGTCTAGTGGGAGATGTCCCTGCCTATAACATGAGGGCTGGAACTAGGTGATCTTGAAGGGCCCTTCTAACACAAACTATTCTATGATTGTCTCAGTGACACCATTCTGAATTAGAAAAAAGGAAACAAGCCTAATCAATGCAAGTGGCAGAATGCAGTTTTCATTTACCAGTCAACAGCACAGAAGACACAGTGGGATTATCTCACATGACATTTTTATTTTCAGGATTAAAAACCCCAATGATATAGATGCAGAATAAAGCAGAAACACAGATGTCAATCCAAGTTTATCTGCAGTTCAAGTGAGGCATCCTAGTATCACAAGACTGAATTGCACAGACTCAAAGCATGAATGGCCAAAAAAAAGAAGAGAAATTGCACAAAATATGAATTGCAAGTAATTCTTCTTCACCTGGCCTCCTTCGCCCCTCCCATTAAGGGTACAAACAAAAAATTTCAATTACAAAATACATTTGACACTGAGCAAAGTTGAAGAGTCAAAATTACTTTGATATGAATGTACTTTTCCTAAGAATTGAGAATACATTACAGCTGAATTTGAGATAGACTGTAAATTATCACAGGTCTACAAAGCATAACAGCAGCACTGTATCACTGAGCATCACAATATGTAAATATCTGTAATATAATTATATAATATAAAATATAATTTGATTCAGCACACAACTACACTGTCAGTGCTATTCCAGGCCTTACAATTAAGAGCTACAGCTTGTTTACAAGATTAAAGACTTGTAGAAAAAGAAAATGTTTACATGAACATACTTCTTCAGTGAGACTCACATTCAGAGGACCTGACTTTAAAATGTAAAACAGACTGGTTTAACAATCTAACCCAAAGTGCTAGGAAGATTATCATTTATCTACTTAGCATTAAGTAGAATGCTGCATTCTTACCCACATACACATTGTTAGCACAAAATCTACTCACTCTCCAGTTTATGCTTGAGTTCTTCCACCAGCTCAAGTCAAAACAGATCTACTGCACTGACACTAGTGAGAGCAGGTGCAGCATTTCACTACTGCAGGATAGCTTTTCAAACCTGTATTCAAATAAAGCTACCTTGAGTTTGAAAACATTTCAACTGAGCAATATTTGTGTGTTTCAACAAAATGCATGGATGTCCATTTCTCTTGGTCCAATCACAGACTTCTTAAAAGCCAAGAGCTCTTATTTGTAAACTAACTAGTAAATGGAGGCCAGTTCAAATATAGTGAACTCCTCCCATAGTGCCTTCTGTCAGCAAATTGAATTGGGACCCTTAGAAAGATCAGCAGGTTTCCACTACTTTTGTCAGTGTATGCTCTGGCTATCAGACAGCAGAAGAACTTCCATTATACACCTAGAAGAGCAAGAAATCATCTTCTCTGCTAAAAGGACTACATCTTGATATAGTATGAAGTTTGAATACAGTTTTGGGTTAGTTCTGGTGTTCACACTGAACCATTCTCCTGCATTCAAAGCAGTCACCACAAATTACATTTCATCCCAAGAAGTGGTCCTCAAGTTTTAAGGATGGGTAACAATATACTTAAGTCCACCTGAAAGTCTTAATGAAAGTGCACATGGACTCTAATAAATATTTCATATTCAAGTAATCATCAAGTCTCACAGGCTCTGTCAACTGACTTCCATATTTAATGTAGTATAAAACAGAATCACCACAATATTTGAAACAAATACAAAATGAGAACTGCTAATTATACAGTGAACTCTGTATACATGAACTCTGACATGTGAGACAGGTACACAAGGAAAATATTTCCAAGGCTTAGCCAGATCAGAACAACAGATAAGTACCTTGGCAGACACCCTACTTTGAGCCGAAGTCCCTGGTCTAAAAACTTCATTACAGCATGAGTGCCTCCTGACTATCATCAACATATTAACTCAGTACCAACACAGTAGAAAACAGGTGTCAGGAGCAGATGATCCCATTCTTCTCAGTCTTCCCTAAAATGTCAGTTCAGTAGAAATGCTGATTACAAAGAGGCTGATTATCCAAGATTCTCAATCTGACATGTGTCACTGACCACTGCACCCCTAGAACATCCCTCATCAGCACCACCTCCAGCAGTGATTTTCACCATCACAGCAAAGCACCTGCAAGAAACCTGTGTTTTCAAATAAAAAAGCGACAAAAAAAGCAAACAAAGAACTACAACTCAGCTCAGCTTCCCCTCACCAAACAACAACAACAAAAAAAACAAGCTAAGTGACTGATAGTCTGAAAATCAAGTTAGTTACAACTCCTAGCTTTCACTTACAAACATATGGTAAGACACTACAACTCCCATGTTCCTGATACTCTTCTCTCTGCTGCTCCCCACCAGGATGTGCACAGAGGTCTGTGAGCCTCAGGTGTGCCTGAGGGCTGCACATGGCAGCACTGAGCATGGGCACACTATCAGTGTGCTCAGCATTCAGCATATGCACACAAGGAAGAGAAGTGACAGCAATGAAACAGCAAATAAAGTAAACAGTCTACAATAACATACCATATAAATAATTACTCAAGAACACACATTTCAAGTATTTTGCCTCAAGCAGCTATTACTATATGGACTTTTTATCTCCCACATCTACAAAATGACCAAGTACTCAATTACCCACGGAGAGTTTTCAACTGTAACTGTTTAAAAGTGAATTCTACTGCTTTGAGAAGATCCAAGTAAAGCTATCAGCATGCTCAACAGATGCAGGTCCGCATCAACCACACAGGTCCCTTAACCTTCTCCTGCACTAATGCCAATCTTTATTTCCCTTAAGGTCACACATGGCCTTGCTGCCTGCTTGCTGATCCACACCTGACCCAGCTGCAGCCCACTGAGAGCAAGACTCAGCTGAGCTTCTCAGTAGGAGCAGTGCCTACCAGCACTCACCAGACCTGCTCCCCACCGCTGCCACAAACCTGACTAAGCACTGCCACACCTTATGTGTGGGATGCAGACGCAGCCCACTGCCTTACTTTCCTCATCCTCATTTCCTTGCCAGGTCACCTCTTCCTTGTCATTTCTATACTGCTGGAAAAATAAGAGTCCACAACTCAAAGCCTAAGTTGGAGAGCAGCTCATTATCACAGTGTGTGAGGGTATCTGGATATGCTGTGGGGCAAAGAGAAATAAGCCCATTACATGAGCAGCTTTGCTATGGGATATGATGTGTAACAGGAGAAAGGCAGTTCTTGCTGCTTAGAACAGTTTGGAATTACCCTAAGATCAGTTCTAAACATCAGTACTGTCCAGAGCATCTCCAAGAGATGTCCTGTAGCAGGCCATTGTAGCTGCCAGTCACCAGCTTCTTCCAGAGGAAGTCAACTTTCTTCACAGAGGCAGAACATCAAGCACTGCTTTAGAACACCACAAGCCTCTTTAAGATTAGTTTCTCCTCCTACTTTATAATTAATCTTAAAGCTATTTTCCACTTCATGTCTCTCTGTTAACACTCTTAACACCTTGCACTCTTCTGCTCCATTTCAAGGGGCTAGAGCCAACAGCAAAGTGAAAAAAAACAAGTTTGTATTCAAAAATACTTAACCAAAACCCTGAGTTGCAATCATTGTATCTCTATTTAAATAAATAGAACAAAGACCAACAACACAGCCATTACTCTGTACACACAATATAAATATTAGGTAAGCCTGAATAAATCTCTTTTGAGGTAGATACATACAGTATAAAACATACTAAAGGTCAAATGCAAACATCATACCTATTTCACCTTCTCATCTTGTCTTCTGGCTCTGTAGAGAACACTGCAAACATTTTATTTCTGCCTCATCAGCACCTAATCTAAGTTTTTCTGCTCTAAGACAATTTGTAGCTAGAAGACCACTGGAACAGAATCTGTACATTTAATACTATTACGGAGTTTTGGCCTTGGCCATGCCAGAAGTACATTAACAAAACTCAACTGAAAAAAACAGGAATTTTAAATAACTCTGAAAACAAATGATACCAATCAGAACAAGTCCTAAAAGTTTAACCAACAAGATAACAGCAACAGAAATTTGCTGCTGTAGCTGTCAAACAAAGTTTTAAACTAGAAAGTTGAGCTTCATTTCCCTGAGACTGCTTTATTTACTTGGCCCTGCCTCACTAAAGCTCAACAGAAAAAAGACTGAAAGACAGAACCTCCCCAGCCCCCAAGGAAAAAAGATTCAACTTAATTCAGTTTAGAAGAAATGCAAAGAACTCAAACAAAAAACCATGCAACAAGTAGATAAGATAAATCAGACCACAGTCTGCTCAGAACTTGGCCAAGGTTCACACGGAAGGCTTGCAAACCTTTAGATAAAGTCCTGAGGTCAGAGTTGTGACAAACAAAATCGTTTGGGATTTTTCTGTGCTGTCACATCACAGTGGCAGACACAGAATAAGATAAATAATAAATCCAGAGACATTTTTCTTTTGAATAGAATACCCATAAAGATGATTCATTCTCTTATGAATAGATTAATACAAGTTAATAATCACTGAATAATTAATGCACCAACAGCTGGTTTAGGAAGACAACCAAGTAGTATCTGCTCACCAGTCATTTGTGTTGTTTTTTAAACCAAGATAAACAGATCACAGGGCCACTGTTGGCTCATCAATTACGTGCTCAGAAATATCAATGTGATGTCTTTGGCTCAAGCACACAGTCATGTTTGTTGTGCATCAACAAAAATGACTGACTACACTCAGCACTGATGCCTGCTAGCCCTTGTGAGTACATCTTGACAAAGTAAGTGGGTAAAGGCAAGGAAATTCCTTCTACATAGCTGTGGGAGTTCTGACTGCAAGCATAGCATTTGAGTCCAGTTTTGGAATTCACTGTAACACTCAGATCCAGTACTCAGATCTCAGTTTTGAGCAGTCTCTATTAAGTACTGTTTTGAATACCACACAATTCCCAGTTAGCCAGCCTCTTTCCATAGGTCCTTTCATAGAAGGACTAACTGGGTGAGAGACTTTTGCCACAAAACTGGGTGACCAGCAAAAGAAGAAGAAAGTGAACAGCAAATCAAAGAAAGGTCACTGTTTTCTCTTTTGTTTAACTGTCTCAAAACAAGAATTCAGAATTGAGAGTTACAATACTGATAATTTAAGGACTGGAATATTCTCCAAATTAGTGTCAAAGGACAGATATATTAAACACTGCCACAGTAAAGAACTGAAGTAAAATATTTACTTTAGTTTGGAATTTAGAAAGAGAGTTTGGACAGCAAAGAGGCAGTATGTGCCATGTCTTCGCATCTGGGGGCCAAAGAATACTGAAGATATTAGGAGTGTAGCAACTGTTTCTCCCTGAACAACAGGGGTATCAGTTGTTTTATTTCTCTCCTCCCCAGTTAAGTCAGAGGTAGTGTCTAAAACAGCGTGATGAATACAAGAGCAGCATCCAGTGAGATCAGCTATACCTGATGTGGCCAAAAACAAGAGCGTTGGCCGTAATAGTAAAACTGCTACAAAGAGATCAACAATGATTCCTGATTTGACTCCTTGAGTTGAACAAAAAAATAGGACGCTGTGAGACACAGTGAGTCTACTCACCAAGGAGATATGTACAGTAACTGGGTACATCTACTTCAGAGGCCAGCCTCTTGTTGGCAGGCAGACAACACTGTGTGCTGCAGCAGATGTGTGCATAACTTAGTCAAACATATAACCACAAAAAGATATGCAGCAGCATTCAGCTGGTACTCTGTGTTCCACTCAGATCCACAGAGCCCTAGGAGAAAAGAACCTTCTGTATACAATTTAATTTTTAAACCACATTTCCTCTAGAAAACTTTGTTTTAAATTAAATGATTACAGTAGGTTTCACTTAAAAAAAGTTTAGCATAGTTGAAAGATCTTCACTGATAAGCACAAGTGAGACACAGCATTCAGGATTTACTTGAAGAATCATCCTCTTCTAGAAGGAGGTCATTTAATGCAATAACTGTAGCAGCAAAATCAACCAGCTCCACAAAGTCAGATGTAATTATGTTAACACCCATAACACCCGGTTTCTGTGCTTTCACCCAATTCAAAATCATGGGCAGGTTCCTAGACAAAAGAGAAAGAAAGAAAATTAAGCATTTAAGATATTCTCCTCTACAGGTATTCTGCTTATTTCAAAGAGAGCATGCTGCTTGCTAATTATGTTCTCGTCTGTGATCAGGTCCCAGTTGCCATCGAAAAATGCAACCAGAGTGAAAAGAAAACTGCTTAACATAGCAAGGAGTTGTGAGCTGCCAAGCGGGAACATTGGTCAGTCAAACCCAACTAACAGGTACACAAAATGAAATCTGGAAAAAAAGAAATCAATTTTCACCTACAAGATTGTGCTTCAGGATAAAATGCTGCATTAGATTAGTTTTCATCCTGGCTCAGTTTTGAGCAAGTACATGTTGAACTAAAATCTTCACATCTCAGATTGGCACAGAACAAAGCTCCATCTGGCACAAGAAGTCTTTGTGCCCACCTCCCCCTTAGGGCAGGCAGGAAAGACAGTTGTGGGCAGCACATGTGGCACTTCTACCAAACACCTTACATCCACTCAGAGCAATGGCAGGAGGGAAACCCAAGTTGGATCCAGCCCTCAGCACTGTGAGGTCTCAGCATCCCACCATACACTGCTGTAACTAGAGAATGGCAAGGTGTGCCAGGAATTGTTTCAGCTCTCAGTGGGAAGAAGTTTCAGTCATTTCTTGTGCAGACTCCTGACTTGCTGTCTGTCCAAGTTCTTTTGAAGTTCGGTATGCAAGTCTCAGTTTTCAGCACAGAGAAAAATAACTAAATGCATTAGAATTAATTCATGCCACAGAATGCATATATTCAATGAGAAGACAGCAGACACAGATTGGCTAACAGGACAGGGAGGAAAAAAAACCATGAAGATCTTCCACAGCTCTTGCTCCAGAAAAAGAAACTTGTCAAGAAAAAGAGGGAGAAGTAGAAGTGCTGTTCATACCAAGAGGAGACAAACTTTAGTCAGCTGAGCATGAACACTGTACATTTCTCCTCTAACAAGAACTCAGAATGCTTAAATATTCATGCTCAGGGCAGAATTTCCATACGAGAAAGCAGACATAACTGCAGAGACAGATTTGTTCCTGCAGATCAGCTAGCGTGTGTAAATGTACAGGAGCAAACATGTTTTAGCAAACAGTGGCCTCTGTTCTCTGTTTTCACAGTTCCAACAGGTAATACTAATGATGGGATGGGACAGAAGGAAGCTGAGCAGGGTTTATAGCCTCTCAGTGGCTAAAAATCCAGGCCTGTACCAGAAATTACTTGAAACAAAGCAACTTGTTTATTCCATTTCTCTTATTATTCTTTACTAGTTTGAAAACTGAAATTCAGCAACATCTTGCTAACTTTAACAACAAGAGTACATAAAGTATACACTATAGAGGTATAAGTTAGATCTGTGCTCCCTGTTAAGCATCCCTACCAACCATACATATTTACATTTATGCAACTTGTGGCATTAAGCACCAGTCCTAAAGCACCTGAGCACCATCTAGTGTTTGACGTTGATCACACATCAGGAAAGGCAAAGAGCAAGCCCAAAGAGGATACCTGACTACATTCTCAGACACGTTTTGCATTTAATGATGTCTTACCTAATGCCCCTAAACTTACACAATTTACACTTCACCTGGAATTTCTACATTTCTATAGGCAACTTCTGTGATTGCTGAACTACAGCACTTGCTCTTTTTAGAAAGGCTTTTAAAGAAAAATAAGTTACATTGACTTTTGATTCAAAATTATACTTACTATAAGATGACTAATGAGTCTCTTAAGAAGTAAACACAAGCCAGCTGCTATAGACGTGTGTGTTTATCTCACTGGTTAACAATAAGAACAGTTGTGGAGATCATCACAGTGAGAGTCACAGATCCCATTAAGGCAGTTGTGCCTAACTACACAAGTTAATTAAGAATTTAAAAATGTTATAGCCAGACAATCTCTCAGTGACATCAAAACAGACAAACAATAAGCCAGGAGACTGAGTTCTACCAGGACTGTTAGAATTTTGGTGATTTTTGGCAAACGAGCCCATGTTTCATGAGATCACACTCCAAGAGCTCCAATTACCAGAAAACACAATATCCACCCCATTACTTTGCTACTTTCAATAATTATTGATTTTTAATGACTGCAAGTATCTCAACCCAGCAACAGCAATGAAGTAGGACTGCATGCTTCCTAAAAGGTCAGTCAGCAAGTCTTACTTTTAGGCAAACATTACAGTTTCTTGCTTACTCAGTGCCATTTCAACATGAAACACTTCAAGAACTGAGAAATGAAGACATGTCCTTACCTATGAACAAGTGTATTCTTTAGACCACGGACCAGATGTCGTGCGATAGTTTTTACTCGAGGAGTGAGAATTGCTTGAGAAACATGAAAAGTCCCATAACGACTTCGTTCCTCAAGAGTGGTCTCCAGGAACTGTAAGAGCTTGTGCACATTGGTTGTATTAGCCCACGGTGCTGGCATTTTATTCCCTGGCCATAGAAAGGGAAATTCTCGATACAACGGGTAGTGGTAGAAAATAAGAACCTAACAGAAACAAGAAAAAGGAGATGATAGTTATTAACTACTCTGTTTAGAAACAGGATGGAGTACTGGCTTATGCATTACTCCTGGAAGGAGCAAAGCAGTGAGAAAGCGAAGAAATTACTCCTGAGTCATGACTGTCAATAAATTTACTAACATAGATGTGAGGACAGGATTGCTTCAGGCTTTAAGGGTCATCAGTTTAAAAAAAAATGAAAGAATGGCCATAAGTATAGTGAGACGTCAATTCTAAGCAGTCTGCTTAAAAAGCACTTCAGAGCACTGTCAGAATATAACCAGTGAAGTTAAGATTTTAGCTATCTTGACACCTCCTACGCTTCTGTTAAATGGCTGAAACACACTGGGCTATCCAGCATTTTAATAACATTCAGTGAGAGGAGAGTGAAATGCCGTTGAAGTCAATCTCATTTTCAGCAAAACCTCCTCTGAATCAGAAATCAGCATTTTACGCCTTGTAAGGTGGTTCTTTGTAAGAGGGTAGTACAAAGAACGGCCCAGGTTGGAATGGACCTCAAGGATCATGAATCTCCAACCCCCCTGCCACAGGCAGGGCACTAATAGTACCAGTTCAGAAGAAATCCTCAAAATCTCATTTAACTTGTAGTTTAAGAATTAAGTGCAGTCACTGAAATCCTGTTCTCTCGGTCTGTCTCTCTCTGTGGGCAAGAGGGATTTAGTCCTGCCACCATAAATGTGAATGGCTGTGAAGGAGCTAGAAGTTCCATAGCTTCCCTTAGTCATGATGGACCATACATACTTTACATACACCAAAATGATGACATTTTATCATATCCTTAATAGCAGTTAGCATAACATGCTCTCTCAGATGAGAACATTAGTAAGGAACACAATCCTGAGAATACTGTCATCTAATTATTTAGAGTCCCCAGCAAGCTTATATTAGCTATCAGCAGTGTCCCTAGGCCAATACCTCAGAGTAAATTCTACCCAGCTTATCTATTTAAGTCTGAATCTTTTGAGTGTGGAAAAAAAAATTATGGATCATCCTTCCCCCACCTGATGCTTCTTTTCCCACATGTACTGTAACGTCACATATTCTACACACTCAACACAACAAAGTTTGGATCCAAATGCCGAGCGAATCCTATTGATCAAGAAGAAGTGATGGCTGTCATCCATGGCATAGAAGTGATTGAAATCCAAGAAGATGACTTCTTTGGGGTGTTGCTCAAGAAAGGTATTAATCTCCATTAGTCCATCCCATACTTTGATGCCAAACAATCCATGTATGAAGTAAATCTCCTGTCCTATTTCCCCAGGCTTGGAAGATACACGGAGATCAAAATAGCGGATTCCACCTTCCAATTGCTCTTTGAAAGTCAGATTTTGAGTTACTGACCATTTCTTCATTATCTTTTTAACCAAAGAAATTCTGGCCAAGCGTTTGATGGCAGTGGCTTGGTCTGGTCCCACAGGAGATTTCTCATCCACCCAGTAGCTGAAAGAATCATGTGATCCTACAAAATAAAGCCAAGAATAATTAGTTTTCCAAGAACTTGAACTCTCCTCAGCACACACAGCCTTGTAAAATAAAAAAGGCCATACATGCATAGCAGGGCCAGAAAAGAGTTGCACTCAACTCTTTCAGACAATCCTTTTATACTTCATTTTCCCTTTTTTCCCCTCAACTGTACAGGCGTAAGGAAAAACTTTTAAAGAGAGCTGTCAGACCCTGGAATAGCCTGCCCAGGGAGGTGGTGGAGCTGCTGTTCCTGGCAGTGTTCAAGAGGTGTCTGGATGAGGAGCTAAGACATATGGGTTAGAGGCTTGTGATAGCAATGGTAATGAGAGGATGGTTGGACTAGATGACCTTGTAGGTCTTTTCCAACCTTGTGGTTCTATGACCCTATGAAAGTACAGAAAGTAGAGTTTGAGCTGTGTTCTTGCGCGAATATCAAAGCACTACAAAAATTATAACCACAAGGAAAATACCAGTGGTAAAGGAAACTTCCATCCTAACTCCTTTCTCCATCTATAAGCTGTCAAGCAACCTCCAAAGATCACCTAGAGTCTGATGGATCACTGGTTTAAGATGGGACACCAATTTCACTGAAAGAAAAAAGTCACAGATTTAATTTTCATTCTACCTCATAAATTCACTCATGATGTATTTCAAAGTTTCCAAAACAGATATTTTCATTCATGTGATAGAGGGATGTTAACATGCACATACTTCACTAGAATGCTTCACTTTAGCCCCAAAATGGTAAATATATGATCAGTAGTTTGGAGAGTGGCTTAAGACTGGCTGAACTCAGAGGTAAAACAATTAAGTTCAAGGTAACACTGATTAAGCCTGAGATTTTCTTTCAATCAAGTTGTGGTCTCATGTTAAACTGATGTTAGATACTGCTGAACAAACTCAGCTATTTCTCTTCAATCTAGCAGTGACTTCCTGTAGCCTCAAATACAAAAATACAGAATTAATCCAAAGGAAGACCCACAGTCAAAACTATCAGCACACGCTCCTTGAATGTAACATGCACCTTGGCAAACAAATTGCAGCTACAGTGGGAATTTCTGCTTACTAGAAGTACTCTGCAATCCAATACACATTTTAAAAAACCTCACAATAAACTCCAAAATAAAAGCTTGCAAGACAAAAGAAATATCCCTCGCTGAGTCAAGTCAGTGAAGAGCTATCATTGAAGAGTGAAATCTCTTCCGTTGATACTAGGGCAGTCAGAAGCTAAAGATGGGCAGATGCTGATCTAACAGACAGAGGATTTCTAAGCATTTCCAACTATTTACATCAGTCACCTGCATTCTGGCCAATTAGCTGCAATTTCTCTTCAAAACTCCATCTAGAAAGTATTACAGAAGCTCTAAACATTTCTGCTTTCCTGTTTATTTTCAGGACAGAAGCTTTTCCACAGAGACAAACCCCACCTGCATCCTGCAAATCCAGAGCTGAAGTACAGGGAAGGCATCTTCAACCCCTGCTCACCATAAGAAGCTCTTCCTCCAGCTGTCTGAGGGCTGCCATACCTCACTGCCTGCATCTGCCTCTTCCATCACTGCATGGCCCAGTTTCACCTTCTCCTCACTCCTATGGCTTTATTTTTCCAGAACTTTCTTCTCTACCTCATTCTGCAATTCCTTAAAGAAATCCTAATGGAAATTTTAGATTAAGACAACAGTTGAGTCTACAACCCCCCTTTATCCAAGCCTTGCGTACAAGTACTCACCTGAAGGCTCATGCATTTCTTGCCATGCAAGGTCAGAGATGTAATTAAGATTATGATCTCAACTGGATTACCTTGTCAGGATTTTTTAATCCAGACAGAAGGAAAGATCAAGCAGTGGTACACAACAAGCTTAAATGTTCTTTTCTTTGCACAAACTTCAACTAGTTTGAAAGTTCTGAAAAGGAAAGTTTTGTTTCCAGGGTCTATAAAAGAATATTTAAGTAATTCCTGATCAACTCCTCATCTATCCTTCCTGGTCTTTGCAAAAGCATGCCTCTTACGTGGCTTTCCCTTCAGTCGTGAGGAAGAACAAGTGACAAGTAACAAAAAGCTGTTTTTAAAAGCTGTCACAATAAACCACATCAAGAAGCAGCTGTCAGTTTGGGAGTGCTTCTTTCACCCCCAAATATGTAAACCAGAACAAATACAGCTTCACTAATACAGGACTAAACATCTAATGAAGACATTTCAGAAGGTGCCGTACAAAGCCTTGCTCATAAAGGAAGCTGCAATTCACAGATGCTGAAGTTTCACACACCTCATAAAGTACAATGAGTCTTTCAGTCCTCTATGATATTTGTAAAGCAGACTTCATTTGCACAGGGATTGTCTTCTGTCCCTTACTAAGGGACTTACTAAGTCACTTGGTAATTTTATTTATTTTTAAGTTCTCAGTTCATTTTAACTTCTTCCTTTAAGTCTCTGTTAGAATAAAGCCATCAGAAACATTTTCTGTTAATTATAACCAAGACTGTGCAAAGAAGTCTGTCCAGAAGTCACTTGCTGCTATGGCCTCTCACACAGTGACACTGATACATGACTTAGGAATGAACAGAATTACAATTTTATCTGGCATCAAATATATTGTTGTCAACATTGAAGGATTTGTCTACACAAATCCAAGCCAAGAAACAGTTTGTTTTCTTAAGTCTGATAATATATTTCACAGCTACAGAAGCTTCCTTCCATTGCAGATGGCCATATTTAAAGCACAGGGAGAGGTATAAAACAGCAATTTTCTCCTTGCAGTATTGCAAAACAACTTCTATTTAGAGCTGTAGAAAACAACAAAGAAGCTAAATGCACAGTGCAGCTTTTTCAACACATACTTTAAGAACTGGGCTCCTCCACAGGGCAGCTATTTAAGGAACTCGAACTGTGTGACATGCTTCTAGCTAGAGAAGATGCTTGAACATCCTGCATTCATCAACTGAAGAATCTCAGAAGTGAGACTTCTAATTTACAGTGCAGTCAACACATAGCAGAATCAAGTAGAATGTGCACTAGAGAATCTGAAAAACAAGCTCTTTGTTTCATAGGAGGACCGCCTCCCTTACAGTGCAGGGTAGTATCACCTGTACTGAGGACAGTAAGACACAGCAGGAGTGCAGCCACATTCCTCAGTGCCATTTACAGAAGGCCAGCCACCAACTGTGAGAAGTATCCAGGCCATGTCTGACTGCTTTTAGTTCAATAAGAAAAAAGTGAACCAAAAACCCAAAGCAACATTACTGGGGATGCTGGGATGAGAGCTAAGAGACAGGTGAGGATTCACATCATCCACCAAGACCTTCTCTGATTTAAGATCACTGTGCTACGTTTCCAGCTCAGCTACTGACCTTTAATATAGCTTAGCTGTGATGTTAAACTACACACTAAGCTGATTGAATCACGATGTCAAATGAATCCGTTGCTCTCCTTTCTACACCTGAGCCCCATGGAAGACCCAATCATTCTGCAGCAATGGCGTGAGCCAGGCTGGTTCCTGATTGAGCATTACATAATCACATACAGTATCAGCAAAGGGAATGGCAGTCATTGACCAGAGCAAAAAAAAAAAAAAAAAAAAAACAAACCACCACAAAACCTCTCATTGTGGCAGAGTGCTGTGCATGAGAAACCCTCTTCAGTCTGTGGTTCCAACCAAGCAGTATGCATCTCTTCAAGTTACACAGACCCTTTTCTCAAGAAAGCTCACATCAGCAAAACATTTCAGATGATAGTCAAAATCTTAAATATAAGTTACACCCTGTTACTGACTCAAATATTTTCCTTATACCTGCTGATTGTGAACACAGCAATCTCAGTCTGTGATTGAAAAGTGAGAAAGCACAGCAGAGCCAAGAAGCCAGTCCAGAATTGTCCTTTAGGGGAAGAGAGGCTAGATGCCCTATTCCAAATTACATCAAGGGCACGTTCTTGCACATGCTGCATACTGACATGATTCAAGAGGAATCACTGCATGTGACAGTGGATAAGTGTTCAGATTGCAGCATCTCAGGAAGGGTTGCAGTGACAAGTATCAGTGCTGCACTCACACCTTCCAGAAACCCATACCATACAGAAACAAGCTTAAGAAATTAAGAGCCTGTATATTAAGAAGAAAAAAAAAAAAAAAGGAAATAAAAACTTCTGGCAGCTCTTACAACACATTAAGAGATGATGGCTACTCTGCTTTAGTTTCATATCTTTCATCTCATAAAGATGGGAAGGTTCAAGTATTAAGAGGCATCTCAGACACCAAATTGCTAAAATGATGGATGGCCTTCTTAATTTTATCCTAGCAAGTGCAACTGTGGATTAATTTTCATTCATATCTTTAAACTTCTTTTTATTCTCATTACACTAATTTCCCAAGTTAGTTGTATGTTAAATAGATCGCTACTCAATTCAATTTGTATGTTAAATAGATTGCATTCCAGTGTTCAGGGTGGCTTTTTTTTTTTTGCTGAAGTGTTTGCACTAATTGTTAGGAAGCAGCCTTTTATCAGCACATCTGCAGCAAAGTCTTAACTTTCCAGCATCTCTATTTGTCATGCTACTTGGTCACAGATAGCCTAATTAACCCACGGTGTAGCTCAAACAATGACATTAATCAACACGACGTTATTAAGCCTTCATTTCAACAATTACTGGTTGTATCTCTTTGCATGATCTTCTTTTATTTCCACATCACTTTGTCTCCATGCACAGATGCAGTACAGGGAAAGGAATCAGCATCACCTTACAAACCCATGACTTGCAAATATACTCATATTTCAAACATCCCTTGAAGGTATAGCACACAAAACACAGATCCTCCACAAAAGATCATACTATGTGCATGCTGCCAATTACTTGAAAACAAGACAAACCTTTTTGTTTTAATACAAGCAGCTGAATCAGTAGTTCCCCTGGTTGCAAGGCTGGGGACTAGCCAGATGCAGCAGGTAAAGAAACCTCCAAAAAGCTGGCTAGCCAAGAAACAATAATGAAAGCAAAAGGACAGG